CATATATGATATAATCTATCCTGTTGTTCCCAGGTGCCAAGGGATCCCGATGTATTTGGGGAAACGAAGGCCTTCGGCCTTCTTGGTGGCCTGAGGGTGTGCCGTTTGTGGCGCCCTCAGCAACACACACGGACGATGGTATGCTTATCACACAAATCTCCTAATCTCAAACTTTTACTCAGGAATGGAAATTATGTAAAGTCCACTTCTTTCCCAGAATGAAAATCGATGTTAATTAAGGTCATGTACTAATAATCTCAAGTACATGACCTTTTAATGGATAACAACTTCAGCATAACAGTCACCTAATCACGTACCCATAAGTAGCACTGGTACGTCCTTACCAGCAATAGACAGTTGTCTCCATGTCCTTCCAACGCATACCACATGCCTCGCAAAGAATCAATAAGTACTTTTTTCCAACTGTATCCTTAAGAATTCATATGGAAATAAATATAGCAATGAGCAATGATATATTTAGTTAATGTTCTTCTCAACACGGTCCTCGCTGTAGTCGACGCACAGTATATAGTGCTACTGAGAAACATGTTATTGCTTTCATGTGGATGCTTCGTGTAGAAGTCGTCAATAAGGGGCATTAACACGATTGTTGAAGAAGGGGGGTTCAATGCAACCTGTATCATATGTATTATTTATTCAAAAAATAATAAAAGTGTATTTGTAATTATATTGTGTCATTCTAAAAGTTTTTTCAGTGATTAAGTTGTAAATAATATTCATGCTCACGCATATCGGTTACACTTTACAATTATAGAAACAAATAAGGTGTTAATAATCACAATAATCTTCGATCTCAGCTGGCACAAAACATCGGCTGCAGACGGCAGACAAGATGAGACATATCATGTGCAGCTGGAAACGCCACGTGATATCGGTAATATACATGATATATTATATTCTTTTTCTGAAAACCATAAATTAAAGTATATTTTAAATTATCTCTCTAGCCGAGTTATAGTTCAGGAGGCTGTCTTAAGGGTTCTCCCTCACGGGCCTTGTTTTGAGTAACTTTCATTGTTGACAAATTACGAACGGAAATGGATTCTATTTATTCCTTTTTCAGAAACTTAATTCTAGCGGTTATGTCAATTCGGCCGATAGCCATGAAGTGGTATTATCCCTGTATTTGCGTTGTTTGTTGAAGTTTCTATTTAATTGTTCCTTTTCCTTTCAGTTTTCACAATACTAACCAACATATAGAGCACTGTCTTGATATAGACATGACTCACCTACACCATCATTCCAGCGTGCAATGTACACAATACTCCATTAACTGTAGGTAACTTTTACATTTTGCCGGTAATCCGCCCAATATCAATCTGGCAATTTTGCTAATTTCCAAAGTTCTTACCCCAAACTCTCGATCAGATTTCTACAGTTCTTAATTGTTCTTAATTGAGCAAAACATATTAGGTTTTATTTAGTTTATATACTTTCAATGTACAGCAAACATTATGCTTGTACATAATCATTTTTGTATGTTTTGTTACGTAAGAAAACAATGCAAACAATGACATTAAAATATATTATGGAATATTAGGGTTATAGTTCGTGTCTTTCATTGGTGTTCTCACCATGCACAGCTAACAAGAGCATCTGTACTTCAATAGACTGACTGACTGAGTTTAGTTTTACGCCGCTTTTAGCAATATTCCAGCAATATCACGGCGGGGGACACCAGAAATGGGCTTAACACATTGTGCCCATGTGGGGAATCGAACCCGGGTCTTCGCCGTGACTAGTCAACGCTTTAACCACTAGGCTACCCCACCGCCCACTTCAATAGAACATGTCATATCATATATTGAATAGCTGGTATCTACTCATCAGAGTTGCCAATTTCTACAATTATGTTTCTTATTTTATAGTTTATACACTAACTTCGTTATGTAATGAATCAATAATTTTTGAATGATATAAAGTTAATTGTAATAAGTTCAACATTTAATTGAAGCGTTATGTTTACGCCTAAGTGCATTTCGGCACACATATTCAAAGTAAATTATCCTCACATTACATATTTTTTTGTCTTATAGCTTTGTGTCTAATGGCTATATTTATATTTTAGCTTGAACAGATAATCAGCAAGAACCTAGTAAGTAAAATCATTCATAACAACAAAGCATTAAAACATATATCCATTTTGCGTCAGAAAGGTAACAGGTCAATAAAACAATCTGCCATGTAATAAACACCACATACATCCATGTTGCATCTGGAATTCTGCTGATTTCTTTGTATTTGTACCACGTATTAAATGCCTGCTTCAATTACAATGCAACTAATACACACACAGGATCAATGCCATGTGGCCTTCACAAATCTCATTTACCCGTTTACTGCTTGTTGATGAACTTATGGCGCTTACAGGTGTAGTGAGGACGTTTCCTTACCTAAACAGTGAGATGTTTATGATAAATACACAGTACCAATGGAAAGTGGCGCTTACAACTGTAGAACGTCCGTTTTCTGACTTAAGCGCCTCACAGGTACACTGTTTGCCAAAAGTGAGATGGTTCTAATAAATACGCACTTCATGAATCACATGTGGTGCTTACAACTGTAGAGTGCCCGTTTTCTGACTTAAGCGCCACACAGGTACCCTGTTTGCCAAAAGTGAGATGGTTCTGATAAATACACTTCATCAATCACATGTGGCGCTTACAGCTGTAGAGTGCCCGTTTTCTGACTTATAAGGGCCTCACAGGTACACTGTTTGCCAAAAGTGAGATGGTTCTAATAAATACGCACTTCATGAATCACATGTGGCGCTTACAGCTGTAGAGTGCCCGTTTTCTGACTTATAAACGCCACACAGATACACTGTTTGCCAAAAGTAAGATGTTTCTAATAAAAACGCACTTCATCAATCACATGTGCTTACAGCTGTAGTGTACCCGTTTTCTGACTTATAAGCGCCACACAGGTACACTGTTTGCCAAAAGTGAGATGTTTCTGATAAATACACTTCATCAATCACATGTGGCGCTTGCAGCTGTAGAGTGCCCGTTTTCTGACTTATAAGCGCCACACAGGTACCCTGTTTGCCAAAAGTGAGATGGTTCTAATAAATAAATAATAATAATAATATGGTAATGTTTGCGCCTAGAATCCAACACGATGCTGCTCTCTGGCGTTACATTATTACCCTGACGGAATTGTACTTTCAAAGCTGCTACTAAGCGCTTCGCGCGACCGTATAGGTCCGTACATCCGCTTCCCAGGTACCCATGTTAAACAGCTGGGTGGACTGAGTGCAATGTGGACGAAGTGCCTTGCCCAGGGACACAACACAGTATGAGACCCAGGTCACAAATTCTGGTGTCTCCACCGGGATTCGAACCCCGGCCTGTGGCGTGCGAGGCCAGCATGCTAACCACTACACCACTGTGCTCCACTTCACATGTGGCGCTTACAGCTGTAGAGTGCCCGTTTTCTAACTTTAAGCGCCACACAGGTACCCTGTTTGCCAAAAGTAAGATGGTTCTGCCAAAATCACAGTAAGATGTTTCTGAATAAGCGCCACACAAGTACCCTGTTTACCAAAGTGAGATGGTTCTGATAAATACACTTCATCAATCACATGCGCTTACAGCTGTAGAGTGCCCGTTTTCTGACTTATAAGCGCCACACAGGTACCCTGTTTGCCAAAAGTGAGATGGTTCTGATAAATACACTTCATCAATCACATGTGGCGCTTACAACTGTAGAGTGCCCGTTTTCTGACTTATAAGCGCCCCACAGGTACCCTGTTTGCCAAAAGTGAGATGGTTCTGATAAATACACTTCATCAATCACATGTGGCGCTTACAGCTGTAGAGTGCCCGTTTTCTGACTTATAAGCGCCACACAGGTACCCTGTTTGCCAAAAGTGAGATGGTTCTGATAAATACACTTCACACGTGGCGCTTACAGCTGTAGAGTGCCCGTTTTCTAACTTAAGCGCCATAAACCTATACAGTTGGTAACAGGCGCCCAGAGTAAATATACAAGATCAGTGACCTGTAGCAAGTCCTTCTTGAACTAGTTTCAACTCGTGTCGTATATGAAACTTAACGAATTCCATCTAACATGCTGCCAGGAACCTCTCAATGACACACCGTTGTTTTCCCACTTGTAGCCACCAGCCGAAAATATAAGCCAGCAATCCCAAGAGAAATGCTGCGGCTTGGAGAGCGCCATGAGAAAGGTAGATTTAGACAGGAACATTTGCTTAAACCTACCCCGTCATTATCCTCCAACCTACTCACATAGAAGGGATGCGTCCCAAAAGGTTTAGACACTTTGTAAATGGCATGTGGCGCTTACAACTGTAGAGTGCCCGTTTTCTGACTTATAAGCGCCACACAGGTACCTTGTTTGCCAAAAGTGAGATGGTTCTGATAAATACACTTCATCAATCACATGTGGCGCTTACAATTGCAAGAGTGCCCGTTTTCTGACTTATAAGCGCCCCACAGGTACACTGTTTGCCAAAAGTGAGGTGGTTCTAACAGAGAACAAAATTCGAGTAAACGCGTTTTAAGAGTCATATTTTTGAAACCTTAGAGCCATATGAAATAGTCTAGAGTTTAAACAATCATTTGTATTTTATTCGCCTACAGAATGATCCCAGTGGTGCCATCTCTGCAATAGTGGATGGACTCTATTGTATGAAACATTTGGAGGACATCGAAGCGGGAGGCATCTTTAAATTCCGATTTGCGCCAAACTGTGTGCCCAACACGAGAAGGTATGGTGATAGTAAAGCGAGTTGGTATTCGTATATACTCTAGCATTGTTTCAGCTGAATATAACGGTTATTTTTTTACATAATTAGGTCTGTGCGCAGCATACGGCCTACAATGACATCCAATCATGCAACATGGTCACACGTGTGAACTGATCTGTATCCACTCTCTAAGGCCATGGTTGCGCCGTAAAGTCGAACATCACACTATAACTATACTGTTTAGACATTTCTTAGTATTAGGACAAAAATGAATCAAGTCACTATATTTTCCTACAGGCAATTTGTCGAGGTACCCTCTTCAAAGGTAGCATTTGGGGAGGGGAGCTCACTTTGGGAAGTATTCGGAGGATTCCCCGATGTTCTTGTGCTGGCCACTTTCGCACATGGCTTTGTGCACAAGGAGCATTACGCTCAACAGGTGAGTATTTACCAAAAGCCAAAAGTCCTTTGTAAATGAGACATTCTAAATATCAACAGCTCACTTTTTGCGTAATATTGATACCATTCCCCGCTCTGTAATTCGTGCTTTTTATGTCGTTAGTTGAACTTATTCACGAAGGAATAAGCACAAGATGTAAATTTTGCCACAGCACATGTTTTTGGCCGAAATATTTGTACACACATTGACGTACATGTCCAATATATTATCAGCTCATCAAGTTGGGCGAAACAGCCGAATCTTTAGGCGAGCGTTTCGGCATCCGTGCCTCCACTGAACAGTCAGTGGAGGATGTGGTAGCAGCAGCAACGGAAAGGATCCTAGCTGGTCCCAGCATGCCCAGTGAGTATTTAAACAATTATGTTTAGTTTTCCATTATGTTGATGACATCTGTGTATATATTTTCTAGGACTCACTGGTACCTACTTGCAGTGGCACCAGAGAATGCATGGGTTGCTACAAGTAGTACCAATGCCATCTGTGTATATATTTTCTAGGACTCACTGGTACCTACTTGCAGTGGCACCAGAGAATGCATGGGTTACTACAAGTAGTACCAATGCCATCTGTGTATATATTTTCTAGGACTCACTGGTACCTACTTGCAGTGGCACCAGAGAATGCATGGGTTACTACAAGTAGTACCAATGTTGATAACTAATGCATATACATTAAACTTTATATTGATGTTCAATTAATCTTTTCAATAAATATCCCATGTTGTTGTTATATATGAATGATTTACTGAAGTTGACTCAATTTCATAAGCGTATTATTATAAAATATTAGGAGCTATTCGTAACTTTGTTTCCTTTCTTCTGTGTATCTGTAATGAACAATGGTTAGGGTGACTTTGCAGTGTACGGACCTATCTGAAAGCGTTCCACGTTTTATGAACTTTCCCCCGTCTTGGTGTTCGATTACTTCTAAGCGGGGCGTTATAAAGCTTAAACAACCACTCACTGAACTAACTTCTGCAATCCAGACATCGGAACCATTATGCTCATTGCTGGGGCACTAAAGAGGGAGGTGGTCGTGCACATGGAGGATAGAAAAATTTCAGCACCACCGTGCACATGTTTGGAATACTTTGAAGGCGAGGAGGTGCATGTGTACGTGGACAGAGGCAGAAGGGCCTACTATCTGACGACAAAAACTGGTGATGGTATAGAAACAAAACTGTAGTCTTGGAAATTTAAATACTTGCAATGTTTGTTTGCTTGATATTTAATGCCGCACTGAGCAATATGTCAGTTTTAAGATGGTGGTATGTAAATAATCGAGTCTGGACCAGACAATCATCACTGTTTATGCTACTCGCCTATTAGAATTATGTATTCATAATTGTGTTGCATGAAGATCCTTTCAGCAGATAACGTTGTTGAAATTGAAAGGGTTTTGTAACTTTTAGTTAAGGTATATGCAGCGATATATGAAACAAGAGATTCCAGCTGTAGTCACCTGTATACCTTACTCACTGTACAATGGCGTCTCTTGTTGCAGAAAAGACCCACATCATGAAGGAGGCGAACAGGTATGTACTAGGTAGTTATTAACATGTCAATCAAGAGTCATAATGACTAGATGTAACTAAACATACAAAAGTAAAGAGAAATTTTCATGATTAGTTTATTCCGTGACCAGTTTATAACCAGCATGATAACCTGTACTTTATTCCTGCTGCAGATTTGAAACAGAAGATCCTGACAGAAGGTGGGCAAATTTCGAAAACACATAAACTGCCACTGCATCCGGCCTGACCTAATTCATATAATGCTTAACAGACAAATATAACATTTTAGAAGAATGAAAGAACTTACATCTCAAAGTCTTTGATAATTGTTCCAAAGTTTGTTATCCTGCTTTTGTCGAGACGATTCCGGCCATAAAGAAAATCCTCTAAATAAATGTTAAAGAGAAAACTTGACCCAAGGAGGAAGGCTTCAGGGACAATAAATATATGCAACTATCTTTTTCAGAGTCATACTTTATAAAAGGCTTTTCGTAACAGCAACAGAACTCAGAGCTGTTATGGCTAATGAATGGCTTGACGACCATGTCGTCGACACCCGTCTTTGGTAACTATCTGCTTTGTTAAAAGAGAAAATATATTGGAAATATACCAGCGGAAAGATTAACTTTCAGTACAAGTTAGCAAACACTTACAAAACATAAGAGATCCCTTTACTCAAAACCGACCAAAACATTGCATATCATTGTGCAATTCTATTCCAAAGTTCACTTAGGTATCGTTCTGGTGTATAAAGTCTTGGAGGTTGTCATTTATGAAAATAAAATTTAAAACAAACGTTGTTCGACCTTGCCAACTCTTTGAATAGTTCATCTTTGATAAAAGCAAAACATTACAAGCTCTTCAGAAAGATCAACAATTTATCAATATTTTATTGTACATTTAGCATCTTCAAAGACGAAAATGACGCCGAGACGGTGGTCATGCTGGCAACCACGGGGATTCTGCTCCAAGCTAAAACACCACAGTACCAGTCAGTATCTGTTTCGCGAACATCTTGTGTCATCACTAATTTACAGTGATCTTTTACTATGTATATATTGTTTGTTGCTATTTTGAGTACGCCCAAGGAAGTTTGGCAGATAAGCAAACTCATTATTCTTTAGCGTTGACTATCGTGTATGATCGTAACTAGGTCGATGTTCCCCAAAGTTCACTCATGAACTACAAACTAAATGTTTGGGCCGAGACATTAAGACCCCCATCCCCATCGTTGGCAAATAACCACAATGCATTGTGTCACTGGGCTATTGTGTACATGGATTACCTGATCCTTCACGTGAAGATCCTGTCAACACTCCATTGTTTACAGGTCACATCACATGGCAGCACGTGTGTGTCCTATACAAAAACATTTGTTTTTCATATTCAAATTGTGAGTGGCACATGCTAACGGCAGGTCCTTAGATAGAGTCAATTATGTCCATAATTTTCACATAATCAAGACTAGATATTCTATGACTTTTGATGTTTCACATTTATGATAAAATAGAAAACTGGTTTATGTTAACTTAGAACTTATGTTTTCCAATCTGATATATCTTCTTACTACCTATAACATTTTCATCTGAGATTCCCTATTGTACATATGAGCATGACCAATTTCTTTTCTTCTCTTCCTAGGAAATTGAAGAAAATGACATGCTTCCTGGGGAACATGATTGTTCCCATATGCACAGGGTAATCATATGTACCGTATTATTTGTCTTTCATATTCAATTACTGGGAGTGAAAATTACCTAAACAATAATATGTTATTATCACTACCTGTGTGCAGGAATTACTACAGTTAGTACCATTGGCAACTGTGGATCGTTTTTCTAGGACTCACTGGTACCTACTGTCAGTGGCACCAGAGAATGCATGGGTTACTACAAGTAGTACCAATGCCATCTGTGTATATATTTTACTGGCAGTGGCACCAGAGAATGCATGGGTTACTACAAGTAGTACCAATGCCATCTGTGTATATATTTTACTGGCAGTGGCACCAGAGAATGCATGGGTTACTACAAGTAGTACCAATGCCATCTGTGTATCTATTTTCTAGGACTCACTGGTACCTTCTTGCAGTGGGACCAGAGCATGCCTGGGTTCTCTGTTCCATGGGAGGGCGGTACCGGGTGCTAGAGAGGAACATAAAACGGTAACACTCTGCAACATGTAATCTCTGTTTAATATTTAGCTTCACTTAATGTGTGACAATACATTTATTTAGATGTTATTAAGATTACCAAGATTAAACATATAATATATCTATAGCATGTCAGCACTATTCCAGCTATGCAGTTGTGATCAAGTGTTGGTCAGCATGCAAAACCACTAAAACCATGTGCAGTAATCCATGTCATCTTTTTGGTTACATGCAATTGGCCAAGCGCCTGACCAATCGATTCTCCACAGTGGTTGGGTTCTTACACCAACAGATAAAGGAAGTAAATGTTAAGACATTACTGCTCTCATTTCCACATTCATTTCATACACATGAGTATATAAACAATATCAGGAAAATATTCTTTACGAACCTATCAAAAGAATGAAGATATCATAATTTCATTGCAGACTACTAGGAAAGACATGTATCTACCCTAAGGTAAAGTCGAAGCTTCAATTCAATGTATTCATCAATTTTACACAAGCATATATATACACACCCGTGCATTAATTAAGCACCATATGGCATAATGCTGCAGAAAAGTTAGGGTGTAGCCATCAATTTGATCAACCTACAGTTAAAGAAGCTTTATCCATTAACAGGTTTACAAATACCACACATGAAATAATTATTACATTCACTTTTCAAAATAAGGTAACTTGTTTTAGGACGGGAAAACACACGTTTCTGATATAGACAGTTATCCTAATTAAAGTACTACGTTATTTCAATCATGTTTTCGTTTTTAAAATATTATATGCTTGCTCTGTCAAATTATCAATATTATTTTTCGGAAAGTGTGTAGATTTTCATTTCATACAAAATTAACTGGCAAAAATACAGGGTGGTGCTTACTTTATGCACGGATGTATATCATTAATAATCCAACAGTTTCAACAACAAATTAGAAAGCAATCACATTTAAGATATTTGATGAAATGTATTAATACTTCATTCTCGAAAACGTCTTAAAAAACATGCTGGTGTTCAAATGTAAATTATCATATCAATAACAATTATAATTTCTAGGTTCCTAAACAGACAAATGGCCGAGACTGTGGCGTGTTCACAGTGATGTATGCTGTGGGTCTACTGAAGGTACACCATCATGTCTGATATTATTAAACAGCAATTTCTCTGAAATAAATCAGTGAGATGAGTCAGTAGTCAAAATAATTTAGTTGTTTTTTTTTTTAGTCAGTAAAGGACATTTTACGGTAATCTATTTGAGTAAAATGTGACTATTCTTACATTTACAATTTTTTTGGTTTAATTTTATATGTTAAATGCAGAGTACACCCTCATCCAACACAAAACAATTTCTTGTACAAATTTACAAATTACTAATGAAACTGTTTTGTGCCTTTTAAGGAAAGCAATTGGAGCCAAATACAGTGGCCAACACTCGTGTCATCTGACATAGAAGACACGGGGAGACAGCTCATACATGACACATTAATGAAATGGTGCTGTTGAATACAAACGTGAGTATGCCAGAAAAGGAAAACAATTTATACATATATAACATTATGTTTCTTTGTAAAAACATCTCTATTCATAGTGAATCAATATTAAAACCCTAAATGTGTTGGTGTTGCTATACCTGGTAACCTGATGTTTTTTTATATCTGTAATGTTTTACAGACAAAATACATTCAACATGAGCAAACTGAAACAATTGTCAACGTGAGTAGAATACATAAAACTGAATAACCACCAGCATATACATATGTACAATACGGTGGAGAAACTCTATGTATGTGCAGCTCAATTCAATTTGCATATTTATAATGCAAGAAACAAAAAGTAGGGGACCAATGAGACATCAACATGAGAGATCAGCTCTTACACAAAATTACTCAACAGCCTCTAGAAACACAATGAAAAGTATCTATTTATTTGTGAAGGCACTAGGAGAAACTTAAGGTGATATTCTGCATAGGTAAGGTCTGTTGAAGCAAGTGGACTTGAAATTACCAAATACCAAGTGTATTTCTTGCTGACAATCATTATACCAAAAGACATTTTGATAAATGACAACTTAAAGCAATAAATGTTAACCTTACATTTTCAAAGTTTGATTTTTTCTCAGATGACCTCATATTTTCTTTAATGTGACCTGGCATTGACATTGCAGTGTACTAAGTAAAGTACCATGGATCAAGGGACATAACAATTTTCAAACTCAGCCTGTAGGTCTTAGATAAGCATGCAGGAAGCATGATAGTAACTTCAGTAGCTTCTGAGAAAACTTGTCCCCATTGCACACACAATGTACGGAGTTGATAAGAATGGAGCAAAGGCCATAACTCTGTTTGGATGTACAGTGATGGTCCTGTTTGAACAATATTTCAAAATGAAAGTTCTTATTTATAGCGTTGAATACACTTTTGATAGAATTTGGAAGAGGGCAGTATACTGTTTTAGTTTATTTTCTTGCTTTGCTGCCATTGATACCATGCTTCGAAACCAAACATAAAATTTACAGTGTGACATAAAATGGTCTACATCCATGTATGAAAGCATACTTCTTAATTTATTCAATGTAGCATTCCGTTGTTCAGCTACTTGAGTATTCATGCTTCTGTATTTATTGTATTTTGATAGATTGTATCCATCATGACAACCTGCAAACAAAAAGTAGGTCAATGGATGACTTCAGAATTTTATTATCATAAGAGGTATGTAGCCAGAGACTTATGATGGTTACCAAACCAAAATATGTGAAGTATTGACAATTATGCTACTGTCACAGAACAATGCTGTGCATTCAGACAAGGATAAGGTTACAGGTATACTACCACCAAATGGTTATATTACCAAACATATTGCTGATGAAATAAATAAATGATTGACAAAAGCATATATGTAAAAAACAATGACATACACACAACATTACTGATTCATGAAAAAGTGCTTTTTAAAGGTATTGGTAAACATTAAATGATTCAAAAGACTAAAACCCTTCATTTGAACTTCATGTATACTGAAAATTAAAACACAGACAAAGGTACCAGTTCAATGCTTGCCTGATGTTTCAAAGCTTGTGTATACTGCTATTAATATTATGATGCATTACTGTCATGATTTACAATAAATCATAATGAAAACTGACTTTAAAAAAGGTTACCTTTGTGATTTGGCCAGTGGAATCGGTCAACAACAAACCAGGTGTTTTTGAAAAAACCTGGATCTCGGTTCATACAATATGCATGCAGGTTACATACATTGTCATAGATGACCATCTTGGGAGCTGTGAATATAGATATGCTGTTGAAATGTTTTGGTCATGATAGGCATTAAGAAGTTGCGTATTTAAGTAATATTTTTTATATCAACTTATCTGTTGTCTACACACAGGCGAGGGCTACACCTCACCTTCTCGAACTACATGCAAACTTTGGGCAGGGTGTGTGTACATATACAAGTTTTATTGTCATAGCTAACAGCAAAGTCATGATTCAATTTAGTTCTGATTTATTCTGAGAGCAACATTCAAATAAAACATACTCTGATCACAAACATCATTTTCTGCATGATAAAACTAGTGGTTTCAGCCATACCAGGGTAAAGAATATATACATGCTGAAAAACAATTGAGTGAACTTTATTTACCCAAGGCTGTAATTATCAATACATGTACAAGACAAGCATGCAATGACATGAGCTCTCTAGAAACTGAAAGAAGGATATCAACTCACCTTTCTTGAACCGTGTACGGAGAAGGGTGAAGGGAACATTTGGGGACTCAGCATCCTGCATCATTCTAAATCCATAGCACACACCTACAAAAGATGTTTTTGTGAACAGATTATAAGCATTCACCCCAGATTATAACCCTGCATGTTAATCCCATAATTGTGTTATTGGTTTATTAGTTAAGGACTAGAAAAACATTTGAATGTTTGTCATTATTATTACCTTGGGTGACCTTGATATTAATAGAATGTCTTTTGAATGAAATCACCTCACTTAGTATAATGTATTGCAAGTATGATAAAAAATATTCAAGTTTGTATTGAGTTCTATTGCATAAAACTTTATGATGAACTAGTTGATGAGACATAAGGCCAAACAACATTCACCATGTTGACAGGATAAAGTGAACAATCCTGGGGTCAGTGAATGATGACTCCCAGGACTTTTCCTGCAGGGTCCCCTTTGGTTCTTGTCATCCAAAACATATGAGCCTCTCCGGTTGCAGACATTCAGTGATGGAAAGTACAGGGTCCTCATGTCTGGATGTGCTTCTGATTCAGAAATCTATGAAATAAGATAAATTACTTTATAAGGTGAAAGTAAAAATCCATTTAGTTATATTTCATGAGAAAATATAATGAAAAGTTTATGTAATTCTGGGCTACACAAATTCAAAATTTAATACTAAGTGATTCATTAATAAGAAATTCTTGTATCATGGATATGGAAAAGGTATTTCAGGTGCAGATTACTTTCGACGTACTCCATAAAATAACATCTATCAACAAGTAACAACCATTTAACAATTCAAGACGAAGACTGAAATTGCTGTACATGCCTCTAAATCATGTTCATCGACCTTCAAAAACTGACCCACATTTTCTACAAAAGCAAGCAACAGGGGACGAACATAAGCAGGAGTTTCTGAAAAATGAGACAGCAGTGAAAAGAGTGTTGGGACTTTATCTTCCAAAATGGCCATGTAAGAGATGTTATGTCTAAAATTTGCCCCTTTAGACTCATCCATGAGAATATCCAAAACAATTTCATCTTCAATATGAATTAAAGCCAACAAAGGATAATCCGAGCTCAAGGTACAAATGATAGAACTGAAAATTTTGGGGCACTTTCCATAATGAAAATTTGAACCAATTTCTGAAAACAAAGGCTCCAAAAAGGGTGTATATGTGGTCAGCAGCGTCTGAAGCTCCGCCATTTCCTGTTGGGTGAGGCTGCGAATTGTAAACTGCCTCAACAGCTTTCTACAGCTCTGATTCTTGATAAAGACCCTAGAGCTGAAAGTAGTATAAACACAATTTGGACATAAAGCATTTGTCACAAAAGTAAGTGTTCAAAGTTGGGATCAGGATTGTGACATATAAGCAATACGAAACACGTATAATAGCACCTCAGGTTTGGCTGCATCTATGTGAGAATCAACTTGTGTTTAACATCCTGACCATGCTTGATGTGCACTTGGTGACAAGAATTGTAGATATATAGTACTCAATAACATTGCATAGAGTTTTGTTCTGTCATTGTTTCCACCCATGTGCAGTGATCCTGGCATGACTATATAAATAATATAATTCTAGATATAAATGCATATCTATATTAAATCTGTGGATACTTTGTCAACACTAATAATGAAACTGTTGTGTTACTTATCTTCCATCCAGATTCTGTGGTTCTTCTTGTGGCATCTTCCAGTCCATGTGGGTGTTTTTGATCCCCAGGGTGACACCATCCATAATGACTACCTCTGGTGACTCCCCACAGCAGGGGCACTGGAAGCCCTCCTCATAGGATATATCCAGCAAGTCCAAGTATGCATACCATGCATATCGGAATCTTAAAGACAAAGTTAATGTTGTGAATGTATGTGTTGATAATTCATGTTGAAAATATATGAATAATGAAGTTATTGTGTATGTGAGGTCAATTTCTGCAATGATGTACCTCTCGTCATGATTACCTATGATAAACACTATTAACAAAATGTTCAAGGTAGATCATCATTTCACACCATCTTGGCTTTAGGCCTGTGTTAATAAATGTTTTGTACAGACATGGATCAGTTTTGGGAACCGAATCTGAAAATTTAACATAATTTTAGTCATTGTATTGTGACTTCTGAGATTGTTGATACTGATTTGATTGACAAAGGAACTTGTTTCCTTTTTACAGTAGGTGTATGGATATCAAAATTGGGCAAAATACATGAATATATGTATGAATAGACATATTGGGTAACCCCTAACATATTGAATGTTGCATGATTTGACTTGTTGTGCAAGCCATGACAGACAAAAATAGTTGTTAAAACATAAACCTGTAGTAGGACAGTTGGTTACTGAATTCCTGATCACCATTTTCAGCATGCTGCCACACCAATGTTTTATAAAAAGAAGACAGTGTTGTTCTGTAAAATAGAGGAATTTAGATAAGTGCTTGTATCCTACACAACTATATCAACAGAATGATAATGTAATTTTTTAAGTAAAATTGATATTTTATACTTATCCTGACTCATGATCTTTTGCTTATTTCCCTTTCCCTTTCGAATGGTAGTAGAACACTTGAATCCCTTGATGTTCCCGAAGCGGACGTATAAATACTCACCCACGTGTTACCTCCCTTCCTCTTTCCCTCTTTCAGCTGTGAAATCACAAGTGTCTTCAACGGGGAGGTTGGGAGGTCTTGTTCGTCATGAGTCAGGATAAGTATAAAATATCAATTTTACTTAAAAATTTACATATATTTTCTTTTCATGATCTTTTGCTTATAGAATCCGTCGGAATAGGTGGTGGGTCAAGCCACTGGATTCAACAGCTGTCCTTAAATACGTCCTGTATCCCCCCCCCCCCCATGGGAACTGCGAACGGCATTTCCTTGGTCCTGTTCTTCCAATTTGCGTAGTAACTCGGGGGGACCACTCCTTGTCTTACTTCAATCTCAGACAAGTTGAATCATGCTGATTCATGTGGTTATAGATAAACTAGTATTCTCCTGTACTAGATATCTTATAACAACCCATAGATTATGAAAAGGTCTTTTTCAAACACAATTTTATACTGTCCACACGTGTAGCTGGAACACTGCTGGGTTCCCGTGGACTTGCTTGGTGTGCGGATGTATCAGTAGGTTTGGCCAATATGGAAGCTTGATTACTGGGCTTCCTAGGTTTTCTATTAGATCTGGAAACCATGCTCTCGCTGGCCAAAGGGCGCGACCAAAGTCAGTTGTAGCGTCTGAGTCTATTTGATCTTGACCAATACTTTTGGCAGTAGTATCGGGGGTGGAAAAGCGTAGCCGTTTAGTCCTTCCCACGACATGCTCAGTGCATCTGTTGCCCAGGCTTGAGGATCTGGAACTGGTGAGACGAACGTCTGTAGTTGTTTGTTGAACCTCGTGGCAAACAGGTCTATGGAAGGGAATCCTATTTCCCTTATGGAGCATCCATTCCGTAGGTGACAGGTGTAGTGGGGGTGGAAGACTGCAGTCGTTCCGAACTCTGACATCAACGTCTGGTACCTCTGGAAGCTCTGGGGCCGCGGTCTCTTCCTGAGTTTCCCCTGTAGTTTACAACACGATGAAAACACGACTCAAAGTCAATATATTTTAACAAATTTGTACAGATACTAGATAATGATTATAGCAAAATCCATACACAGCTTAATTTAAAAGAATAGGCCTAAATAGAAACGATAAATTGCCGTATACGGGACTCCAGTGTTCGCCCAACCATCCGCTTGGGCGAAAAGGGAGAGAGCGACAAGTATGGGCACGTCACATGGTACGTTTGCGCGGGAAAGAGGAAGGGAGGTAACTCGTGGGTGAGTATTGATACGTCCGCTTCGGGAACTTCAAGGGATTCAAGTGTTCCACTACCAATCGAAAGGGAAAGGGAGATAAGCAAAAGATCAGGAGTTAGGATAAGGAAAAATTTGTATATTTATAGCATATGCTGTAGATAATGGCAGGGCAATTACTGCTGCTTTTGAAATATGATTTATGCAACATTTTTTGTGTGAGTTTAACATGTTAACACTCCAGTTTTATCTGAGATTAAATAATGATTGCGGAACTTTCAATGCCCTATGAAATGTAAAAATTCACATATTACCCATCTGTGAGGAACTGTTTGGAATACTGTCGAAAGACTTGGTGTGAAACCATATAGGTTCCCATGTTGAGAACATGCTGATCCCCACCATCAAATTCTTTTGTTCTTTGGCAGTTGCTGCACTGTCTTTCAAAAACTTAACAAATTGGAAAAGAAACATGTTTTCTTATTATACTAATAACCTGAATAGCGGTGTCCTCTTACTTAGCCAGATTCTGTCAAAACAGGTCTCTCACATAGCCAGAGTGGGATTTGGCTGTTAGTTTCAACAAATTGCTCACCTAGTGAGATTAGTGAAATTTGTAATTAATGTGAGATACTTGTACATTGATATGGTATTATTTGAACTTTTTTTTGAGGATTTGAGGTAATGCTCAATTGGTGACATTAGTGACATCTGTATTTAAGTGAGATACATTGATATGGTATTATTTGAATTCTTTTGGAGGATTTCAGGAAATACTCAATTAGTGATATTAGTGAAATGATTTTAACTAGTCCAAGATTATTTATGCAAAAATATTTATTATTCCGAGCACAAAGATTTAGGCCTCTGGTTTCAAAAAGACGCAAATTGGACTGCACAGATAAATTCAGTACTCCATCAAGTTTCACCAATCATTATCTTTTTATATGTAACAACTATGATGCTATAAAAAACGATTTGTTTTCTTTCAAACATGGATATAGCATAAATGACGCTCCATATGGTAACCTAGAAGTACCTAGATCTAAACATCATATTATTATAAAATCAGTACATAACTTTATTATCACTTTAAGAATATTTAATCAATCTTAAGTTTTCATCTAGCCCTTTGCAGAACTAAAAGTATTTTTGCTGTATGGATGCTATATTGCATGCTTAATATTGTTTATGATATCATGTACTTTTGTAATAATGTTATGCAATACAACTACAAGTCGCATAAATGTTATTTTGTCTGGACAGGCATTATTATAAGCTTTTTGCTTGTTTGCCGATACAGTGTGGGAACAATATATCAGAAATAGATATGTTTAAATCGAATTTTCATATTACAAAAAACGCACACAGACTTGCATACATCTTAAATAATGTTACATTGTAGATATCGACTATAGCCCATGAACAAAGGCTCATGCTTCAGTGGCTAATTCTTATTACCTGGCTCGCATCTCTCAGTCTCACATAGCCATAGTTCTATGTTGTCTTAACAAGACCTTTTTGGTTAGACTCTGGCTGAGTGAGAGTGAACCTGAATAGCACTTAAACCTTTAAAGCAAGTAAAAATGTAAAAAGTAACAAAAGCCCTATCGTTGTTCTAGTTGTTTAACTAGTAACCAAATGTTGATATACTGGTAGGACAAGTGAAAGAACAATTTGAAATTGTGCATGAATTTGTTAATATGCAAAAATAAACATTGATCAGACAAATGACCAAGTGTAATGTTCTTCTTTTCAATAACATGTAATTTAAACCACTTACATGAAGCTCAGGTTTTTTTCTCAATTTAGACATATTGATGTTTTTGTAAACTGGAATTAAAAGGAAACATCTGCATACCTCTAACACTGGATGAAGTGGTTGCGGTGAACATCATTGAGTCCAGGCCATCTGTGAGCTCACCCCAAGGAGATCCACAAACACAGATGCCTGATGTGTCTGGGGCAAAACTGTTTTCATATGTTCCTTGAAAACTAGACATGCTGAAATCTATTTTTTTTTTTGATATTGGATAAGGGACATATCGTGCCCTGAAAGATGGTTTTGATGACAACAGCTCTTTCAGTACCTCAGCTAATGAGTGCCCAGAACACTTGATGGCATCTGTATGTGGGCATGGTGCCTTTTTGCATACAGAACATGCTAATGAGTGCCCACCTTGAAAGTTTAAGCTGACAATGGCATATGACTCGTTGGATGAGTTACCGGTAGATATGTGGACACACACAGCATGTTCTGTTGACAAAAGGGGATATAACTCCACCTATAGGATAAGAAGACAGGCCTGAGACATGCGAAACATTTATAGGCATTAAGGCACACAATGCATAATGTCCTAAAAAAACATAGTATGCGAAATTTAACAGCTTGAGATTACAATAGTAAGATAAAAACATTGATAAACAGTATTTGTGATTTGAAAAAATGACTATATAGTATTATGATATAAATAATCTACTTGTGTACATATGGGTACAAAATGATTGAATTTCTAAACAAAATATACAATAATTATCATGTTTTCTTTAAATTCAAGTAAACATTTAAACATTTACATGTAATTGTAAACCTGAGCCAAAAAATTTCTCGTGAACTTACATGATCATTGGACTTGCAATATTGGTGATCTGACACATCTAGATTAAAAGAATAAATATTGTATGAAATACAACAGTAGTTTGCCAAGATTCATAAAATTACATGTGCACTTACACTATAAAGTACATGTAAGTGGTTTAGGCTGTACAATATATTCCAACTGGAACAAAACACCAAACAGGAAACGGAAGGATAAATTCACAAACCAAAATATTCTATGTGAATCTCTTAAACACTCTTTGAAATGTAATCAATGAATGATACAGCAAGCATGCACATGGCATAATGGTGCTTTCTCAATACCAGTATAGTGTATTATACATAACATTATAGCTAAAATACATGGAATTATCATGAAACGGCCCTCCCATTATCAGAAATTTGCGGTCCGCTGCAAATGATATTGGGACCGCTCAACCTTAACGACGGGCCACTATCAGTTCTGTTGTCAAGTGACGTCATGGTTCGACATTAATTGTCTTTCGACTGGCAGATATTCTGGGTCAAACAAGTCAAAGCAACCCAAATTCCCGCTTTAAATAGCGGTAATATTGGCTTTCTTGTTGGTGCTAACCTTAACAAATGCACTATTAAGACTGTTGATGGACTAAAACTGAACACTGTCATAGTTTGGCATGTTGCAGGCTATGGTCTTGTCAAAGGCCAAGGTCGAATATGGTCACTTTCTGTTGTGACGTCACTTGAATTGTTCGATGACGTAATTGCATTCGGGCAGTCAACCCCGTCAGAAGTTGATTTGGGTAAACTTAGTCAAATTCCTTCATTGTTTCCTTTTTCTTTTCAACACAAATTCCATGTATTTTAGCAATAATAACGGTAATGCTATTTTTGAGGGCATTATCATTTGCAGAAGCCCTCGGTCTTTTTCAACTGCCCTCCTTCGTCGGGCAGTTAATGGAAGACCTCGGGCTTCTGCAAATGATAATGCCCTCAAAAATAGCATTACCCTTATATTATAGTAAAGCCTGAGGAATACCTTAAGCAATGTAACTAATTTTTTAGCAGAAAAAAAAATTGGGGGTTCAAATACCATTGACAGAATGGGAATTGTAGTCATCAGTCGTGATGGTGCTCCTTAACAGCTCTCTGCATGCCTTGATATGAAGACATTCGACATGATTGGCATGCTGATCTAAATCTGCAATAACAATCAGAGGAAAGCTAAAAACGTTATTTGCTAGTAACATATGTTTACTGTATCATGCAAATACCAAAGCAAACATCTACAATGAATGCTAAAGGTAACAAGAGATAGTAAGCCTGTAATTGTAGAACATTTACTTTGTTTCACTACTTCAGACATAATATGAGGTGGATGCAAGTAACAACAATAATGATTTGGTGTCTTGTATTTAACTGATATTTAAGTACATATTAATACATATGAATGTTATAAAGGACCCATAGCTTTTTACATTTCACAAACTAACATAACAAACCTTTGATTTCTTGGACTGAGCAATTATACGGTTGTTCAATGGCAAACACCAGTGTCTCCCTTGCCCTTTCACACTGGCAAGCATAGACCCAGGTATTTCCATCACAACACGTAATGTGCCGTCTCCGAACAATGTAATAGACATCCTAAATACAAAAAAAATATGTAAAGGTTTAGTGAGACATGAGACATAAATTGATAAAACAGATATGTTAAATAATGAATCTAATTAGAGGTAATTGGGGACAAAACATGTACATTTAAAAACCGATGTATAACTTGCTTTAAAGCTTTATCTAAGATACATTATTAAGGGTAAAATGTGTTCTAAGGATGGGAAAGAAAGAGAGATATGTAAAATTACATAAAACGTTATTGCATCATTAACAGGGGAGAATATAGGGCCATGGCGCTTTAGCTGATGTGGATATAAAGAAAATCTTCAGTAAACATTTTATTGTAATGTACAATAAATTTGGAAAAAAATCTTATTTCTGAGCTTTTGCAACGTTGGGTGGACAATGAGCCATGAAACAAAAACCATTTGACAATGGTGAGATGTAATATTATAAAACTGAACAACCTTCAATTTGTTACATGTCTGGTCAAAGTCTTGCAGGGCAAATGCAGTGTGATGGGGGCTGCACGGAGACAGGCCTTTACCCTGTATCAGCAGGTGCTCATACTGCCTTAGTGGTGTGAGTGTATACTGAAAGGCAAATCAAATAGACAAGAGTCATAAGAAGATGACATATACCCCCAGTATGATGCAATTCGGACATGGAAAATATGTAAATAGCAAAGGATACCACTTCAGGGTGAGTTTGATATATCTATGAAGTTTAGTGGAAAAATATTTAACGGTTTTCAAGTTATGCTCCGGAAACAAAATGATTACGTACAGACTGGACGGACTGAGACATGAGGTGTTGACTATAAACCCTGGCATAAAAGCATAAAAATGGGTAGATAAATTCAACTTTCTATAACATTTTCTGACGGACCCTTGGGGGGTGGGGAAAATGACTTTCAGCATTTTAGACAGGTGGACCTGTGTTGACCAAGGCCTGACCCAAGTTAACACTGGTTAGCTGATGGTAACCATTTACATGATACTCTGATTGCCCTTGGTTGCCCATGTAACTGCTGAACACGTGGGGTGTGGTACCCTGGTTAGCAGCCTCCATGTGACATGCAGTAAAGAAAATTAGTTTCAATTTTAAATTCAATTATGAATAAAAGGATTGTGTTATGTAAATGTTGGTTGCAGAACAGTGTACAACAAGGACTGGTGGGCTTGGAGTGAGTATAATGTGTCTGAGTTGGGTATTCATGTTAACTGTGGCATGGTAAGTCTGGGGTAGTACAAACAGTCATGCATACACACACATGTACATCGTCATATGATCGAAATATTCATAATTACAACTCTAAACCTCATTTTATTTCACCTGCTAATTCATGGAATTATCTTCCCCAAACTTTTATTGATGTTTTTGACATTTAGTTCATCTCTGCAAAAATTTAGTAAATGGGATTAGGAGTAAGTTTAAGAAAGGCTTGATCTTCCCCAGAACTTTTATTGATGTTTTTTACGTTTAGTTCATCTCTGCAAAAAATTAGTAAATGGGATTAGGAGTAAGTTTAAGAAAGGCTTGATCTTCCCCAGAACTTTTATTGATGTTTTTTAACGTTTAGTTCATCTCTGCAAAAAATTAGTAAATGGGATTAGGAGTAAGTTTAAGAAAGACTTGGGTTAGTAGACATTTAGAAAGTGATACTTCCTGGAGACATATAGTTAAAAGTTTCGAAGGGAATGACAGGTAGAGGGAACAACGAAGTAATGGTTAGGCTATGCTGATATATTGCAGGCACATAAAATGTGAAATAGATAATAAATGTAGTTGAAATGCTTTTGTATACAAATATTATTTAAAATAATTAGTAAGGAGGCGTGACAACCAATTACACATTCATGGAAAACACCCCATGACATTTAATCATTTTCACTTATCTGATAAATTTGTAAGAAATGCTTGCACAATAAAATTTAGCTACTACCTAATTGTTTAGTTAAAATAGATGGGATAATATAGTTCATATGAATACACATGGTATAAAAATTGGCAAATAAGAACATTTCTGTTTTCAGAAAATGACATTCAGACATAATAGATGCTGCTTATATTCTACACAGTAATGTTCAACTAGAAGAGATAATGACTTCTAATTTGTTTATGCTAATAAACTAAGAAATTATTGGTAATAAATATACTGATGGAACCATAAAAGCATCCCTTTATATATTGTGGCATTTTCACCCACAAAGCATGCAAAGAACTTGGAAAAGGATATCAGGACACTTGTACTTTCATAGGTTCCCTTATTTGTTTCCATCAGTATATATGTTATTCAACACAGATACATGACCAGAAATGATTTTGGTCACCAAACACTATTCTAATGCAACAAATCACAAATTGACAATCACGTCATTGACTATTTGTATACGATTCGTTATTGAAAATATAATATTACCACACAAGGGGACATCACCTGCAAAAAAGTACGAAGAAACCACAAAGCATCGCATTCTTTGGTATATAAATAGACCTTATAACATACAGCCGAAAGGAAGTTCAGTTAGGTTTTGAAATGTACAGGACCAAAAGGAACGCATACTAAATTGCACACTGATCATGTGAAAATATATGAATGGCTGAAGGGGTGAGTTTGGTTTAATGCGTTTTAGAAATGTTATTATGTAATACAAAACAATTATACAAAGTGAATTGCCACTAGCTAAGGAATTTAGTTCCTAAAGTTTCACATACCAACCTCAGATTCAATGACTGTTTTAGGAGTAGAGAGTTCTTGATCAGACGGACCCGGCTGTTGCTGGTGATGAATTTGCTGATGCTGCGGTTGTTTTGGGCATGTTGACTTTGAAGCCTTCTGTGCACTAGAGGAATTAAAAATAAAAGGAGACACTAATGCTTACACAGAATAATGGAGCTAAACAATAAAGCCTTCATGGCCAATGGGAATAGATTATTTTTCTGGGAAGAATGGAGATATGACACATCAGAATGAAGAATAAGGACGATGCTCACCATACACTAGCTACTGAATAGTGAGAGAGTGAGTGAGTATAGTTTTACGCCGCTTTTGGCAATATTCCACACTGAACTAATGTGGGGGAAACGAACCCATGTATTTGGTGTGATGAGCGAATACTTAAACCCCTCTGCAACCCCACAGCCCATAGCTACCGAATAAATATGATAGCTGACATGACAACTGTAATAGCTGCTGAATGTATAATAATAATTAATTATGATAATAATGAATATCATATTTACACAGTATCACCCTTCCTTAAATTCCTCCTCTTTCTTGAAGTTTGACTCGGAACGATTATATTGTCAAAGTCCTCGTTCAGCTGGAACCGATTTGGGATTATGGCTACAACAAATAAAAAATAAAAGAATTTGTAATGATTAGCCCATGAAACACTGATATATGGGATATATGTAATTTTAACATATGATCCCTAATTCTACAAAATATACTGTGTTGTTGACATAATTGGACCCTATAATACTCATATTTGGTAGCTATATTATGCAAAATATTGAAGAGATGATTGGACCTTATATAACATTGATATGAGGTTTTACTTCTACTCAGCACAATACATGTGTTTCAGTGTTAATTAAACCCAAGCACTTTGACATATATTCACTATATTATGCAAAATATAGTTTATTCAGCAAATTTACTGCCAAAATGTAGTAACATTCCAGGTTACTGAGTAAGATCTATCAGGTTTGGGAAACCTACCTATCGGCCTATAATAGGCCAAACGGGATATAATAGGCCGTTCCGCCTAATTTGCTACAGGCCGATTGGCCTTTAATTATGATATTCATCAAATAAATTTGAAGTGGTGAATTTCCGCATGAGGATATTAACATTATTCAAGTTTTGATGTGCTAAGGTTTTCATTCAAACCCTTTTTGAGCATTTTCATCACATAATAAAGAAGTTTGGAAATTGCTAATTTAATATAAGACTATAACATTTTTGACAATTTTCACTGAAAATTAATGACATAGATATTCAGTTTTAGTTGTCAATATGAAAATCTGTGCAAAATTGTGTTCTTAAATGAAACATCTTTTCCTGAACATTATATAAATTTCCATTTTATCCAAAAACTTATTTTTTGTCAAGCTGAGCAGGTTCATAACTGTGCATCTCCAGGATCTAATAAAACCATTTCGTGCGGAAATTGATAGTTTGTGAACTGTTAATAATAATGGTCAAATATAGCCTGATCGGCCTACAGCAAAATAGGCAGAACGGCCTATATCCCGTTCTGCCTTTTATAGGCCGATCGGTAGGTTTCCCCAACCTGTCTATTTGCTAGACGCAAGTTAGTGGCCAAATGACTCAAATAGTTACAATAATCAACAGTTAAATAAGGGCCAAGCTAAGCAGGTACTAATGGCAAAGTTTTGACATCATTTGATGACTGGTTACATCATACCTGTCAACTCTCACGCATTTGGCGTGAGTCTCACGCTTTATTGACAAATGTCACGCTCCCACGCCTCCAAATAATAATCTCACGCATATCTGGTAGCCAAAAATAATTTCAAAATTAATACGCATTTTCGTTCGTTTTTGCGTAAAGTTGAACATTGAAAGAACGCCTGAATGAAGAAGTACTAAAACGATGTTTATGCGAATGATTCGGCTTATTATTATTTATTAGCATGCATCTTTTAGTGTCAAAATAATGCCACCAGAATGCTCCAAATGCTCCTGAAAATCACTAAACTTCATTTTCGGGGCAGGGGCCTCCCCAGGGCATCGCCCTCAACATGACCCCGGCTTATTTTTTCGGTCTCACTCTAAACAATCTTTAGGGGTTGACAGCTCTGTTATATGTTATATCAATGTAATTTACCTGCATGATTCATCTTGAATTATCCAACGGTGGAAGCGGAAGTTCAAATATGAACATGGATTACTCCCTTGTTGATCCGAATGACACCTTAAAAAAGACGACATTAATGTATATTTCGCAATAATATAGTAACACAAATATCAAAAAGCATTTTCACAAGTTTTTCATAATGTGGTTATTAGATAATGGGTTAATGCCGATGTATGTGCGAAGTGTGAGATTTGAAATACTTTAATATGACAGGCGCGTAAGTGTGGCACTTAGCCATATTCCAGGCTGCTTTAATACATGTGTCAGCGAAGCCGCCATTTTGTAAAAAAACGGTCAACGGTAGTGATGTCATACGCCAACATTGTTACAAGTACATATTTGGCAATTTCTTTGAGGTGAAGGTCGGTTGAAAAAGCGTAAACACAATCGCCATGTCCCACCGATTACACATTCAGTGTTATAATGTATATTTTGTGTATCATTCAGACATTTTTTCATGAAACTAATTTCATTATCTACATTTAGCCTTGTTCTATATCATATCCGTGGATATAGGGTATATGGTTTTTATTTTTTAAGGTTTTTGTTTGTTTGAATAATATTTACAAAAGAAATTGACATAGTGAGTGTAGTACACCATATTTTAAACCCTTAACAAGTATTAGAAGAACAAACGTAGGCATAACTGCAACATGTACTTTAGGCCTATCATGTGCAATATTCGCCATTCGGACCAATATTACAGTTTCATATGAACACGTTAATGAACAGCGATTTAATTTAACCTGACAAGTAAAACTGACAATATTAATGAAAATGATTTAGATATTTTATGAAATGTATATGCACCCATATTTAAAGGAATTGTGTTCATTGAATTGGTTATTCATTGAATTTGATGTATATTTCGTTTTATTTGTCAAAACAGTGATTCACTTTCATTGTTTTCGATAATATATCAATTCATATTCTTATCCTAAAAAATCTATTCAGGTGTTGCGAAATATCCTTTATCATTTACGTTAAATTGATGCCAAACAGGTACGCGTGTTGTTCATATTAAGATACACAGTCAAACCGGATTTATTCAGGACATTATTTAAATGGTAAAATCAGTCATTTTAAGTTCTGTCGAAAGAGTGGTAAATTCTCAGATAGAAACCCGAAACCTTTTATACAATTCATGGAAATTAGGAAATATAGGTGAACGTCGCGATACATATGACGTAATCAATCTTTTCATAATTCCAACATGTCGTAGTACTTTTAATGATGCCAACACCGCGAGAATACAAAGAACTAAAATATCGGATAGGGCAAAAATCGCTATTCTCGTTATTTCAACTTGTCATCTTTTCTTATAAATTGTGAAACTACCAAAACGTATCCGTCACATATAATCTTTTCAGTAATTCCATTACATTTAAAGATACGGCTAGTACTCGGTTAATAATGATGCAAAATGAGTCAAAATACATCTACACAAACAAGAGAATATGTGAATCAAAGAACTAATTTACATACATAGAGGCCATATCGGATGTTGTACCTTGTCATCTTTTCTTATAAATTGTGAAAACTACCAAAACGTATCCGCTATTCTCGTTATTTCTCATGTTGTACCTTGTCATCCATTTTAAAGATACGGCTTATAAATTGTGAAACTACTACACAAACAAAGACGTATCCGAACTCACATTCGGGGAACTTTGTACTGAATAGTTTGGTTCACAGTGAACGGAACATAACGAAAATATGGCGTCCATATCCACAACAAATTCTCTCCAAGTGATCTGAATTACATTGACCTAGTGTTACTTAATTTACTGTTTTTTAGCGCATAACAAAACTATGGGTGCTGAATCTTTTTTGCTTTCAACATGTCACTTGAACCATCTGGTTCATCAAGAAATGAAAAGAAAAGACGTTTTGAAAATGTCGATTAATCTACAAATATTTTTGTCTGATGCTGATTACTGGTCTCTTTTGCTGTTTCTGGGATTTGTGAGGAAGTTAAAAACGTCTCCCGTCTCCGTAGTGGTTCCCTTCAGGTGGAATGTGCACAGAGATAGCAATCTCTACAGGCTTCAATCGTTACAAAGCTCGTTGACTGTCTGACTTGACTGAAGAGGATATTACTGCAGAGCGTTTTGATCAGGGCTGCAAAACGTTTCACCGTCAACAAAGAAGGTATCACTACGAAAACCAACACTTGTCTCTTAACTTTGCATCGCTGTCGCTGTCAATAAAAAGATATTTTAACATCAGATTTAAAAAAAACCAAATTATTATTCCATTTCATACATGCATATATAAGGCAGATATGATATATGGACAATAAACATTTCAGTGATCAATAATTCGGTCATGTCATTCAGGTCATGGATAAGCGTAATGGGTACGTACAAGTTTTAACTGATTACTTCATTTATACTATATATAATTCACAATGACACGATATAATTTAAAGTGATAGCTGATAACACTGTGATTGATTATTTTATGGCGCTTCAAAGGATAGTTCAGGCAGTTCCATCTTTTTTTAAAAGTCACTATATCTGTTATTGTTTCTTGCTATGAATTGTTCAATTTTACAAATGTCCTTTATTGATGAGACAAATCTGTCAAATGATGGGGAAAGGTGTTGAAGACTTGAGATGTAGAACTTCCAGCCTCCTTCAATGACTGTAACACATTGAAAATTAACTCTTAGTCATCCGCCATAATCCAGCTAAAATGTCAACGAACAAAAGCCGAAATAAACAACATAAAGAAGCGGAAAGTCAGTCCTCCTCTACCTCGTCAAACTTAGACGAATATGTTACCCGAACGAAGACAGCGGCGTCTGAAAAAAAAGATCCACAAACTGTCGACGATATTAGGGACGTGAAATCGCACATGGATCGATGTCTGAGGAGATTTACCAGCGGTATTTCGGCCAAAATTGATAACATAAGTACAGACATCTCCCAGCTGCGAACCTCTTTGGACGAAAAGCTAAAATCAGTACAACACACGTGAAATCAACAACAACAAAAGTGAAATTGACAAACTGCGATCTGAATTTCACGATTTCACGGCTGAAGTTGAGAGAAAACTCTTACAACAAGAACACTGAGTGAGAAGAAAATCTCCATTCGAACCGATTTGCCTGTCATGATGAAGAAGAAAAGGTCACACCTGGCGGCAAAGGGCTATGAACTGAGACATCAACACAAAGTACAAACACGGATTATGGAAAAAGGATTAGACATCAGTCTACAATATCGCCGAGACAAGTTCTCCACCTGGAGAGACATTGGATTGGAGGATTCGATCGATGATCTGACTCGCTAGTGATTTTTAGAGACAATCGTCGACAAACTTCTATTATGTGTCTCGCTAACACGTGTTTGTTTATAAACAAAGACAATGTGACAGTCACGTGACGACTACAAAGTCACATGACAGTTATTCGTGCATCAGAAGGATTTCCTTTCATTTGTTTTTCCATTCTAACTTTTCTGACGGATATATGTCATAAAACGAATGACGGTACGTTCCAATACTCAACGGTGACTCTTATGATAGGTATATGTTAAAATGTGGTAATGTAAATGCAACTTGTACGACAATGTGACAGTCACGTGATGACTACAAAGTCACATGACAGTGATTTGTGCTTCAGAAGAATTTCTGTTGATTTGTTTTGTTTTTTCATTTTAACTTTCCCGACGGATATATGTCTTAAAGGGAATGAAGGTACGTTCCAAATACTCAATGGTGACTTATATGATAGGTATATGCTAAAATGTCCTAATGTTAAATGCAACATGTACGAAGTGATGCAAATCATATGGGTTAATCCGAAATGTCCGTTTTCCGATAGTAAAGTTTTGTTCTCTTAGTCTTAGTTGACAGAGCTAATGTCATGTTATTTCTTTAATTAGGTGGACGGCAGAGTATATCTTCTTTGTGTTTCTAAAAGGTTTTAGTAGATATATAATGATGGTTCTATTACAGGGTACCTTTATAGGCTTATGTCTACGTAATTCCGCTCCCAGCGCCTAGTGATTTTCCAGCAGAGACATCATTCGATGTACAGCCAAGTTCGCCAACCTAGACCCATTAAACTCGCAAAGTGTATATCTTTTTCAGCAACCACTGACTAGACCCTCGACATGCTGGAGTGGAGTTTCCTTTATAGGGTCCCAACGCGTCGAGGTCTTATCAGTGGTTTATGCGCGTGTGTCCGTACGCGTAAGTCGTGACACCCAGTTTTTGGAATACAGAACTAGTTTCTACCTAGTTTGCCTTTAGGGTTCTGCCTAGTTTCGCATCTAGTTTGTACCTAGTTTGCACCTAGTTTGTACCTAGTTTGCCTAGTCTGCCTAGGGTTCTGCCTAGTTCGCATCTAGTTCGTACCTAGTTTGCACCTAGTTTATACCTAGTTTGCCTAGTCCGCCTAGGTTCTGCCTAGTTTTCCATATAGACAATTGTGCAAATGCAGATATATAGTACAAACAAAATGCCTCCGAAAAGACAACTATCGCAAGACTAAGTGGAGGAGATTCGCAAGATGCGTGGACAAATCTCTGCACAAGAAACGAAACAACTATTTGGAATCGGTTCAAATCGACTACGCAAAATATGGAATACAGAGGAAGATATGTAAATACATACAAAGCCCATTTCTTCCTCCCCCGCTATAAATCCGAACTCCGGCACATCCTTATTGCCAACCGCAGAACCGTCCACCAACACCATCTTGTCCGCTGGCGAGATAGCTCCAAATCCGACGTCTACCTCCAGCACAAATCGTGATTGCCTGCTGCAGAACCGTCGACTGCGCCCACCGGCCCAGGACTTCTACGACTGCTTGGGGAGGCCTGCCGAGGCCTCGGTGGTGGAACAAAACGCGACAATGTTGTCGGCTCGTGGGAGCAAAACCACGAATTTGTTGGTCGACATCTTGTCGAGGCTAGACAAGGACGACGACGACAAAGAACTCCGGGGAGGAAAAAGAAAGTGTCGAGGAGGAACAAGAAGAGACCGGTCTGATATCGAGAAGGTGCGGCAGATGGTAGAATCGGCCCAAAGGTGG